TCGCCTGCAACGATAGGACCGCGTGCTGATGGACTTTACTGGTATCATTCACCTGCGTGAATGCCCTGAAAAGCGCTGAGCCCTGAAAAGCCACGACGTACATATGATGAAGAGTCCACTTCCACAGTGAAGGGATCTCTGTATTGTACTGCTGTAACATCTACCTGCGTGAACACCCTGAAAAGCGCTGAGCCCTGAAAAGCCACTACGTACACAGGATGAAGAGTCCACTTCCACAGTGAAGGGATCTCTGTATTGTGCTGCTGTAACATCTACCTGCTTGAACGCCCTGAAAAGCCCTGAAAAGCCCTGAGCCCTGAAAAGCCACGACGTACACAGGATGAAGAGTCCACTTCCACAGTGAAGGGATATCTGTATTGTGCTGCTGTAACATCTACCTGCTTGAACGCCCTGAAAAGCGCTGCTCCCTCAAAAGCCAAGAGATAAAAAATTGGAGAATTCACTTCCACCCTTGAAGAAGTTCTATTGCATTGCATGGCTGTTTCGTCCCCTTGCGTGAACGCCCCTAGAAGCCACGAAGGGCAGGACCCGAGAATCCACTTCCACTTTGAAGTGATCTCCATTATTGTGGATGATCTAACCAGATCATCAGAGCTGCAGCATAGACTGCCACTCTGTCAGCCCACTTACGTGAACGCCTTGAAAAGCCACGGAGTGAAGAATCGGAGGAGCCACCTCCACGACGAAGTGAAATTACCAAGCCAGATGGTCAAGCCTCATGAGCAGAACGAGTGACTGATAAGTTAAGTGTGAAAGGTCTGAGTATATACGATTGTGATACCAAGCAAAGCAACCGTTATGATGAGAAATAGGCTATACCGGAGGCCATGGTTCATAATAAACTAGAACTTAGATCAATTCCAAATGAAAATTGTTTTGAGTATACTTCACTATTATGCCATATATTAAGATACGTGTAAATAAATAAGTTCATTTTATTTACTAAATGGTGTTATGAAGTATTTGGTAGTTAAAGTAAAATGAGTGATGCAATTATGTTTCTTGGTGTGTGAAAACGACATAACCTAATACCCCTAGACACAAGCAGGTGTGATATTCCTCAGAGAGTTGTTCTGACACCCCTTAATATAAAAGTCATTTCTCCACAACTATTTTGATGCAGTTTGAGACTCTGAATGCCACAAGCCATCCCTGGTTCTGTCTACACGACGTCTGCTGGTCGCCCCCACCCACCCACACCCTAGCTCTGGCTTAGCTATCATGTATGTTCCTCCTAATCCCCACTCAAAGGTCAAAGGCACCGCTCAGCAGATGTCCAAGCTTAATGTTAATGTGGGTCGCCAAGAGGCCGGGTAAGTACGCCAGAGGAAGCCTGACAAACTATGTGTAGTAATCAATAGCGATTAGCCCTATACAAAAACATATTGCTAGGAGGAAGGGGTAACCCCTTGTCAACAGGCACGCGCGATGGTGCAACAGTTTTAGAACCCCTACTCTAGGGGATTTCCTCGGCCATATCAGGTCAAAAAAATTTGATTTCATATACGTGATATATTTTTGAGATAACGAATTTAAAGAACATTTATGTGACAGTGACGTCTTCTAGAAGAATCAATGACGCAGTCAGCATGTTTTTCTCACTGTTAGTCGCAGACACCCGACGCCATCACAAAGATGGAGTAAACACATTTTTTTACTGTAAGATACGGTTAGATTCTCTTATTGATCCAATAAATGGAAATTTGTTTTTGATACATTGTACATACCCGGTATTCGTTCTCAGCATTATGGGTAAATATTCTTACTACGATAACGTTTAATCTATACCAATTAAAATGTAAATCATTTCAAAGTATTTCTCGTAAAAGCCTCCGTCTATCCATCCATCCCTGGGGTGCTACAATCCATGTAGGGCTTTGGCCTGCATCACCACTTCCTTCCACTCAGAACTGACTGAAGCTTTTCTTTACCAAGATGGATTCCCAGTTGTTGTAGATCTTTTTCCCCACATCATCCATCCATCTCATTCTAGGTCTGCATTTTGAGCCGTTATCCTCTTGGGGTTTTTATGATGCCCCCCTCTTCACTCCTCTGTCATTTGACATTCTCTCTGAGTGTCCCGCCCAGCGTAGCCTGACCTTTTTTTAAAAAAAAATTTCTGCTACAAGCGTGGGATCCCAAAGTAAACAGTACAATTCCTGGTTGGTTCGTATTCTCCATCCATTTTCATCCATTGTTCGTCCGTATATTTTCCTGAGAACTTTTCTCTCCCACGTGTTTAATAGGTTTTCTGCCGTTTTTTTTTGTCAGGGTCCAAGTTTCACCTGCACATGTTACAACTGGTCTGATTACAGTTTTGTAAATAGTTGTATTTGTTTTCTTGTAAAGTTTTCACCTTTTAGCATTTTCTGACAACTGAAGCAGCGGCATGCCTTGGTTTCGGCCACTATTCTTTCTTTGATTTCAGTTAGTAATTCATCTCGTTCATTTAATAATCATCCTAGGTATTTGAATTGATTGACCAATATTCTTTCTTTGATTTCAGTTAGTAATTCATCTCGTTCATTTAATAATCATCCTAGGTATTTGAATTGATTGACTTTTTCAAAAACCTGGTTTCTTATTTTAATGGTTTCACGTGTCTGTTTTTCTCTTAACATCGTCATGAATTGTTTATTATTATTTTGTTTTGGCTGTTAACTTCCAGTCCTGCTTGTAGCTATGCGTTTTCTAATTCAATAAATGACCATGCCTTAACGGGGTATAGGAAAACGGCCAACTATGACCATGCCTTAACGGGGCCCTGGAGAACTGCCAACTATGTCCATGCTTTAACGGGGGCCTGGAGAACTGCCAACTATGTCCATGCTTTAACGGGGGCCTTGGAAAACGGCCAACTATGACTATGCCTCAACGGGGCCCTGGAGAACTACCCACTGGGCCCATGCACTAAGAAAAGGACATCATAAATGGCCTGATTTACACATCAAAGGGAGGCCATAAAGTGGTGTAACTAGGGTTAGTGCAGCCCCTAGGTGGGCCACGTTAGTTGAAGCCCCTAGGTGGGCCACGTTATTTGCAGCCCCTAGGCGGGCCACGTTATTTGCACACCAATTCCATGAAAAAAAAACTATGCTTCCTTTTCATATAAATCAAAAAGACACCCCCTTTAAACCCCCCCTCCACACTGAATTTATACCCCCTCTACACCCCCACTTCCCCTCCACACCCCACTACCCTCTACACCCCTACTCTCCCTCTATACCCCCACTCCCTACATCCTTTCCTACGCAACTGATGCTAATTTTTTTTTTTTTTTTTGTTTTTCCACAATTTTCTTAGTTTTAATAATTTTTTTTTTTTTTTTTGATTGTCCACAATTTTCATAGATTTAATACATTTTTATTTGAAAAGGTTAACTGGACACGTGACTTGGCAAATCTTCAATCATTCAGGGGAACTGAACAAAAATATGGCATCCATTAAAACTAACTTGTACATTGCTAGATTTAGAGTTGGGAGTGTAGTCATTATTTTTTACATTGCTAGATTTAGAGTTGGGAGTGTAATCATTAACTTTTACATTGCTATATTTAGAGTTGGGAATGTAATCATTAACTTTTACATTGCTATATTTAGAGTTGGGAATGTAATCATTAACTTTTACATTGCTAGATTTAGAGTTGGGACTGTAATCATTAACTTGTATGTTGCTAGATTTAGAGTTGGGACTGTAATCATTAACTTGTATGTTGCTAGATTTAGAGTTGGGACTGTAATCATTAACTTGTACATTGCTAGATTTAGAGTTGGGACTGTAGTCATTAACTTTTACATTGCTAGATTTAGAGTTGGGACTGTAGTCATTACCTTTAGTCTAAAAATAACCATTAGGTTGCCTTTAGTTTTTTTTAAACACACAATTGGCGTTAATCCAGTCGGAGCTAAATCAGGGTTGCCAACAGGTCTTAACTTTCCAGACATTCCGTAAAGAATTCTCTTAAAATGGCATCCTTTTTTCATGAAGTTGTAGGACTTGAAACCCTACGGACTCATGGAGACGTAAAGAAGATACAGTCATTTACATTCAAGGTCTCCCCGCGCGTATGAAGAATAATTTAGATTTCATCTATTTATAGATAAAGTTCAAATTATTTGGCAGGCAACCCCGGAGTGGTTTAAGATTTTGAAAGCTGTTCAAATGTTCATAACACGCACCACCCTCAACTGCAGACCTACGGCCCGTTGAATTCTACAGTACCACTCTCAATTGTAGACCTACGGCCCGTTGAATACTACAGTACCACTCTCGATTGTAGATCTACGGCCCGTTGACTACTACAGTACCACTCTCAATTGTAGACCTACGGTCCGTTGACTACTACAGTACCACTATCAATTGTAGGCCTACGGCCCATAGAATACTCCAATACCGCTATCAGATGTAGGCCTACGGCCCGTAGACTACTTCAATTCCACTCTTTAATGTAGGCCTACGGCCCGTAGACGACTTCAATACCGCTATCAAATGTAAACCTACGGCTCGTAGGTTACTGAAAAAAAAAATGAATCACAGGCTTCTACGTGTTATTTCTGACTTCATCTCACATATTACCCGATTCTACAAGCCTTTTCAAACAAAAACTACAAATTATTCTACTTTATTTAGCGAGACTAAATTTATTATCATGAAGAGTTATGGTTTCTTACGTACGTCATAAAATATATCTCTAAATTTCAGTTTCATCAATTGCAATTGAATTGTTCTTTGGTTTATGTGAATTGTTCATTAATTTATATGGATTGTTCATTTGTTTATGTGAATTGTTCATTAATTTATGTTAATTGTTCATTTGTTTATATGAATTGTTCATTAATTTATGTTAATTGTTCATTTGTTTATGTGAATTGTTCATTAATTTATGTTAATTGTTCATTTGTTTATGTGAATTGTTCATTAATTTATGTTAATTGTTCATTTGTTTATATGAATTGTTCATTAATTTATGTTAATTGTTCTTTTGTTTATGTGAATTGTTCATTAATTTATGTCAATTGTTCATTAATTTCAACATCTGTGTTTTTGGAAGTGTTGTCTCACTCCTACAATAACGTCCTGACACACACGCACACAAGATTCGTTCACTATTCAATAGAGATTGCCGCCCTATCCACAAAGGTACAATCATTGAGATTGACGTTCAGAGGATTGCCTTATGTTACCTGATGACGATCCCTGCTGTGTGGCTACTGTTGTAAGGCTAACATTTGTGAGGCTACTGTTGTGTGGCTACTATTGTGAGGCTACTATTGTGAGGCTACTGTTGTGTGGCTACTATTGTGTGGCTACTATTGTGAGGCTACTATTGTGAGGCTACTGTTGTGTTGCTACTATTGTGTGGCTACTATTGTGTGGCTACTATTGTGAGGCTACTATTGTGAGGCTACTATTGTTTAGGCTACTATTGTGAGGCTACTATTGTGAGGCTAGTATTGTGAGGCTACTATAGTGAGGCTACTATTGTGAGGCTACTGGGGTTTGGCTGCATCATTGTCAACCGTTTGTTACGGCAGATCGTAAAATTTGTTTTAAAATCACGTGTCCTTAAACGTTAGCAAGAAATGAAACATGTGACATTTGACATTTGAGATTTGACATTTTACAAAAATGATAAGAATGTCATAAAATAAAATAAGTTTCTAAAATAGTCTCAACTTTTATGTTGATCGGTCATACAGACATAGTGAAATAAAAATATTTGCTACTGATATTTGACCTGTTTTAGCTTTTGATTTTTTAAATGCATCCGTAAAAAGAAAAAAAAAATATTCGGTTCAATAAAAAGTTATAATTTGTTTCTGTAATATTTGTATATTTGTTGAGTTTCCAACCCTGAGAGCGAGTGAGTCAATGAGAAGTACAAATTCAAGGTTGAGGCGACGAGTACTAAATCATTCAATGCTTGAGAACCATGGGTGTTAAAGAAGAGGTCAATGGGTTAAAGAAGACGTCAAGTTCAAGATGTTAAAGAAGACGTCCAGAGGTTAAATAAGACAATAAGTCAAATAAGACGTCAATGTTAATAAGTTAAAGAGGACGTCAAGGTCAAGAGGTTAAAGAAGACTCAATGGGTTAAAGGTTATGGAAGAAAACAATGACAAGATCTTCTAAGTTTCCTACGTCCGTTGAAGCGGATCTTAATCTCAAGATCATCGAAAAGTTGGTCAATCAAAGATCTTCGGTCCCAAAACATCATTTCTTCATTGGAGGGGCTGAAATAAGGAATGGAGGTTGTTGGTTTCTAATTGAGTGCTTCCCCTTGATTTGTTCTTGGACCAGGTGACTGGTGAGTATTACAGGTTTACGTGGGGCGATGACCTCTGTTCACTGGCAGGTGAAAGGAATTGTTAAGTAGCCGTTGTCAGGTGTCATCTCTACCGTTCGTCTGCATCTCTGTCCTCTCTGACACTTGCATCTGTGGAGTTCAATCAATAGAATAAGTCAGGAACAAGCAGTTGCTTTACCGACAGCGTTATCAATCTTACATTCTTTCAATCATACATTCCAATCAAATATACATTCCAATCAAGCATAATTCAAATCAATCATTATTCCAATCAGTCATACATTCGAATGCATGATACATTCCAATCCCTCATAAATTCCAATCGATCATACTTAAAATCCATCATAAATTCCAATCCATAATTACATTCCAAACCCAGTGGAGTCGCTAGAGTAAACATACAACTAGAGTTCTCTGGCGCCTGTGCTAAGAAGGGTAAACATTAACTGTTACTGTAAACATTGTTTTATGGCGGCCTTGTCAACGCCATCCATTAACATCACAATAACAGGTAATCCACTGACCCAGATGGGATAAACATGCAGTTATCCTTGGTAGCGGACACATCCTGAGACCAGACACACAACGCCCAGAGACACGGTGTGTTTCTGGAGCAGATTCTGGGCCTCTCTGCACTCCGGAGGGGCCGGAAAACCTGTGGGGAGAGAAACAATTGGCTGGATCACGAAGCTAAATATTAGTTCCAGCTTTTATTTCAGTAATGGATTCTGACTATCACTGCTATCTCCATCTGTCACTTCTATTCCCATCTGATTATCCCATCTATTACCATCTGACTGTCACTTCTATTAAAATCTCACTACCACTAGTATTACTATCTGTCTATCACTTCTATTACCATCTGACTATCATTTCTATTACCAACTATCACTTCTATTACCATCTGACTATCACTTCTATTACCATCTTTCTATCACTTCTATTACAATCTGTATATCACGTCTATTACCATATGGGTTTCACTTCTGTTGCCATCTTAGTATCAATTCTATTATCCTCTGTGTATGCCCTCCATAACCATCTAATTATCACCTCTATTACCATCTTAGTATCACGTCTATTTCCATCTGTGACACACATTTGCTGACCTGATTAGAGATTGTTGACCTGATTAGAGATTGCTGACCTGATTAGAGATTGCTGACCTGATGAGAGATTGCTGACCTGATTAGAGATTGCTGACCTGATTAGACATTGCTGACCTGATTAGAGATTGCTGACCTGATTAGAGATTGCTGACCTGATTAGAGATTGCTGACCTGATTAGAGATTGCTGACCTGATGAGAGATTGCTGACCTGATTAGAGATTGCTTGCCTGAGTAGAGATTGCTAACCTGTTTAGTTAGAGATTGCTGACCTGATTAGAGATTGCTGACCTGATTAGAGATTGCTGACCTGATCAGAGATTGCTTGCCTGATTAGATATGGCTGATCTGATAAGAGATTGCTTGCCTGAGTAGAGGTTGCTAGCCTGATTAGAGATTGCTTGCCTGATTAGAGATTGCTGACCTGATCAGATATTGCTGACCTGATCAGAGATTGCTGACCTAATTAGAAATTGCTGACCTGATTAGAGATTGCTGACCTGATCAGATATTGCTGACCTAATCAGAGATAGCTGGCCTGATTGGAGATTGCTGACCTGATCAGAGATTGCTGACCAATTTAGAGATTGCTGACCTGATCAGACATTGCTGACCTGTTTAGAGATTGCTGACCTGATAAGAGATTGCTGACCTAATTAGAGATTGCTGACCTGATCAGAGATTGCTGACCTAATTAGAGATTGTTGACCTGATCAGAGATTGCTGACCTCATTAGAGATTGCTGGTCTGATTAGAGATTGCTGACCTGATCAGATATTGCTGACCTGATCAGAGATTGCTGACCTAATTAGAAATTGCTGACCTGATTAGAGATTGCTGACCTGATCAGATATTGCTGACCTGATGAGAGATAGCTGACCTGATCAGAGATTGCTGACCTCATTAGAGATTGCTGACCTAATTAGAGATAGCTGACCTGATCAGAGATTGCTGACCTCATTAGAGATTGCTGACCTGATCAGAGATTGATGACCTAATTAGAGATTTCTGACCTGATTTGAGCTTGCTGACCTGATTAGAGTTTGCTGACCTGATTAGAGCTTGCTGACCTGATTAGAGATTGCTGACCTGAATAGACATTGCTAACCTTATCAGAGATCGCTGACCTCATTAGAAAGTGCTGAGCTGATTAAAAATTGCTGACCTAATTAGAAAGTGCTTAACTGATTAGAAATTGCTGAACTGTTTTGAGATTTCTAAACTGATTAGAAAGTACTGAACTGATTAGAAAGTGCTGACCTATTAGATTTCTAGCCTGATATGCTAAAGACGTATACTTATCATTGGTTACGAATGAAGAAGATTCCCTTATCGACCACTTTTGTCGAAGGGATTTTACTTGCACACATTTTAAAAATATACTTGTTCAAATTATGAGGTTAAAAACATTCAAATCTCCGCGCTGTGATACTTCTATGACTCATATACTTTGTCAACTATACGTCTGAGTATACTTCTATGACTCATAAACTTTGTCAACTATACGTCTGAGTATACTTCTATGACTCATATACTTTGTCAACTATACGTCTGAGTATACTTCTATGACTCATAAACTTTGTCAACTATACGTCTGAGTATACTTCTATGACTCATATAGTTTGTCAACTATACGTCTGAGTATACTTCTATGACTATCTTATACCTTGTCAATTATGCATGTGAGTATACTTCTATGAATCTTATCTTATAAGAGGGCATAACTGCGATACAGATTTTAATTTATAATGGTACAAAGCATGGGCGCCCGCAGAAAACTTTCTAAGGGGGGATGCAAAAAATGTTTAGTAATGTTTTAATGTAGTTTTAATTTACTGTAGCGTATTTTTATGGTGAACGAACGAACGGACAGGACATCTGCTTAGTTACTTTCTCTTTACTTTAAAATTTTTTTTGTCTATTTTTATCTTTAAAAAATGTATCCGGACAATGGGGGGGGGGCAACTGCCCCCCTTGCCCACCCCTTGCGGGCGCCCATGCTACATATTATAATTTTATTCTGAGACAGAATAATTTTTAAAAAAACAAAACGTGAAGCTTAACAGTGTTATAAACAACACAAAATTAGTTGTTTTTTGTCAAAAATATCTCCACCGGCCATTTGTTGACAATACTTGATTCATCTGACAGGCCTGACACATAAAATCATTGACATTACACTGGATTCTAATCAATGTTATATTTATTTAAACTATATTTCCGTGCCCCTATAGGTTAACGTAATAATGGTTGCTCAGACTTCAAATATGTTTCTCTTTTATTTTAGCATGCAACAGTCTCCAACAGACAAAGGTGTAAACTCGCTGGAACGAAGGTGTAAACTCGCTATAACAAAGGTGTAAACTCGCTAAAACAAAGGTGTAAACTCGCTATAACAAAGGTGTAAACAAGCTATAACAAAGGTGTAAACTCGCTATAACAAAGGTGTAAACTCGCTATAATAAAGGTGTAAGCTCGCTATAATAAAGGTGTAAACTCGCAGTAACGAAGGTGTAAACTCGCTGGAACGAAGGTGTAAACTCGCAATAACAAAGGTGTAAACTGGCTAAAAACAAAGGTGCAAACTCACTATAACAAAGGTGTAAACTCACTATAACAAAGGTGTTAACTTGCTATAACAAAGGTGTAAACTCGCTATAAGAAAGGTGTAAACTCGCTATAACAAAGGTGTAAGCTCGCTATAATAAAGGTGTAAGCTCGCAGTAACGAAGGAGTAAACTCGCTATGACAAAGGCGTAATCTCGCTGGAACAAAGGTGTAAACTCGCTATAACAAAGGTGTAAACTCGCTATAATAAAGGTGTAAACTAGCTATAACAAAGGTGTAAACACACTATAACAAAGGTGTAAGCTCGCTATAATAAAGGTGTAAGCTCGCAGTAACGAAGGATTAAACTCACTATGACAAAGGCTTAAACTCGCTTTAACAAAGGTGTAAACTCGCTATAACAAAGGTGTAAACTCGCTCTAACAAAGGTGTAAACTCGCTGGGAAAAAAGGTGTAAACTCGCTTTAACAAAGGTGTAAACTCGCTCTAACAAAGGTGTAAACTCGCTCTAACAAAGGTGTAAACTCGCTCTAACAAAGGTGTAAACTCGGTGGGAAAAAAGGTGTAAACTCGCTTTAACAAAGGTGTAAACTCGCTCTAACAAAGGTGTAAATTCGCTATAACAAAGGTGTAAACTCGCTGGGAAAAAAGGTGTAAACTCGTTTTAACAAAGGTGTAAACTCGCTTTAACAAAGGTGTAAACTCGCTCTAACAAAGGTGTAAATTCGCTGGGAAAAAAGGTGTAAACTCGCTTTAACAAAGGTGTAAACTCGCTCTAAAAAAGGTGTAAACTCGCTCTAACAAAGGTGTAAACTCGCTGGGAAAAAAGGTGTAAACTCGCTTTAACAAAGGTGTAAACTCGCTTTAACAAAGGTGTAAACTCGCTCTAACAAAGGTGTAAACTCGCTCTAACAAAGGTGTAAACTCGCTTTAACAAAGGTGTAAACTCGCTCTAACAAAGGTGTAAACTCGCTCTAACAAAGGTGTAAACTCGCTCTAACAAAGGTGTAAACTCGCTGGGAAAAAAGGTGTAAACTCGCTTTAACAAAGGTGTAAACTCGCTATAACAAAGATGTAAACTCGCTATAACAAGGGTGTAAAATCGCTATCACAAAGGTGTAAGCTTGCTATATCAAAGGTGTAAACTCGCTATCACAAATGTGTAAACTCGCTATCTCAAAGGGTTAAACTCGCTGTAACGAAGGTGTAAACTCGCTTTAACAAAGATGTAAACTCGCTGGAACAATGGTGTAAACTCGCTGGAACAAAGGTGTAAATTCGCTGGAACAAAGGTGTAAACTCGCTCGAACAAACGTGTAAACTGGCTGGAACAAAGGTGTAAACTCGCTGGAACAAACGTGTAAACTCGCTGGAACAAAGGTGTAAACTCGCTGGAAAACTAACAATCAACGAAAGCTGTACGAAGTAGATATTTTTTATTTAGAATGTTTTTACTAATCATCAAACACGCCCCCCCCCCCCAAACACACACACACACCAAGTACCCTTTTAAAAACATTTTCCTGCAATTGTGGTGGGGTGGGGTGGGGGTCCAAAAGTAGGTCGAATGCTCGTTACTTCCTGGCGCTGACGGAGTTTCAGAAAGGTCCTTTAGCTTCAAGTCTTAACACCAAAGTGTGTCACCTGCACAGTTTATTGTAGTTGGAGTTTTCATCATCTCAGATTGACCTCCATCTGAGGTTGACCAATACCCTGACGCTAGACCCTGGTAACAATTTACCCTGGTAACATTAGATCATGGTAACATAATACCATGGTAACATTATACTGGGGAACCATTAGACCCTGGTAACACTATACCATGGTAACATTATACCGTGATTACATTAGACCCTGTTAACATTATACCCTGATTACATTAGACCCTGGTAACATTATACCCTGATTACATTAGACCCTGTTAACATTATACCCTGATTACATTAGACCCTGGTAACATTATACCCTGATTACATTAGACCCTGGTAACATTATACCCTGATTACATTAGACCCTGGTAACATTATACCCTGATTACATTACACCCTGTTAACATTATACCCTGATTACATTAGACCCTGGTAACATTATACCCTGATTACATTAGACCCTGGTAACATTATACCCTGATTACATTAGACCCTGGTAACATTATACCATAGTAACATTTTACACTGGAAACATTATAACCTGGTAACATTATACCATGATAACATTATACCCCGATCACATTAGACCCTGATAAAATTATATCATGGTAACATTATACCCTATTAACATTATACCCTGATTACATTAGACCCTGGTAACATTATTATCCTGTTAAAATTATACCATGATAACATTATACCCTGATCACATTAGACCCTGGTTAAATTATACCATGGTAATATTATATCCTGCTAACATTATACACTGGTGACATTATACTCTGGTAACATTATTATATTTATCATTATACTCTTTAACACTTAACTCTGGTAACATTCAACAAGAAACGTGCATTACAGTAAATAGTTTGAGTAGAACGATCGTGTGATGTGAGACAAGTTCTGTAAGGGGAGACAAGTTAGGACATGGGGCTGTTTGTTAAATATTGAATTGAAAACTTAAGTTGTCCAAAGAATATAACCAGAATTGTAATATATAAATTCATAAAATAGAAAGGTACATACACAAACATACAAACGAACACACCCAAACACACACATCCACATGACTTTTAAGAAAACATTATTGAAGGTGACATTTCTTAAGGACTGGCCGTTGGTAGCTCCGCCCCCACCCCTTACCCCCCCCCCTCCAATAAGAAAAATATTTCTTGTGGGCTTGTGGTTTTTTCTTCTTATTTCCTCCTGCTTATTAAAAACAAAACACAAACACACCCATCCACATGACTTTTAAGAAAACATTATTGAAGGTGACATTTCTTAAGGACTGGCCGTTGGTAGCTCCGCCCCCCCCCCTTACCCCCCCCCCCCTCCAATAAGAAAAATATTTCTTGTGGGCTTGTGGTTTTTTCTTCTTATTTCCTCCTGCTTATTAAAAACAAAACAACAAAGACATGCGCCTCGACCTGTTACTTACAACAGTTGACGGTGATGCTGCCACTTGAACTGCCAGGACAACTATGCAGACCAGAGCCACACACTGGGTCACGGCGTCGATCTTTAACATCGTCATTGAACTTGTGTGTGTGTGTTGGCTGACCGGGGTCCCTTAGGAGGTGGCGCTTGTTGTCAAGATCTTTTGGCTTAACCGGCAATGTGAGAATCCTTGCGAATAAAAAAAACTAGCCTTAAAAAAAAAACCTTTGAAATGTATTAATTGTATTTTCTATCTAAGATACTGGTAAGCAACTATTTCCGAAAGTACACTTCTTGTGTTGTGAATCTGATTTAAATACCGAAAAGAATACAATCAATCTTTTGTTGCTGTACAGTCTTAGTGTATATTGTTTGAAAAACTTGCAACAGCTTTCTTTTGTTTCGTTTCTTCCTCTCTAAAATTATATTTGTCCTTTTTTTTTTTCTTTATATTTACACGAATGTCTCAAACCAATGTCGGCTAACGTCTTAGAGAAAAGTTTTCACCACAGATCCACAACCTTTTTCAGTCCACCTCGTGTGCTCGCCTGACCATGTTGCGTTGACATGGGCCCCCACCGGTGTCCTGTTATATATAGGCGCTCAACCGCTCTGGCACCAGGTCTAATGGACTCGGACATGTGGGTGGCGAGCTGATCTGGTCTTGGAGGAATTCTTGACGCACGCGTGAACGAGACCAGCGCCGTAAGACAGCTGGGAGGAGATTTGTGTAGAATTAGATAGATTACAATATATGTATGTATATATATTTATTTATAATATATATATATATATATATATATATATATATATATATTTATATTATATATTAAAATTATGGCACAAAATTTTGATTTAGAAACAGGAAGTGCTCGATAAGAAGTGCTCGATTAGAAGTGTACGATAAGAAGTGTACGATAAAAAGTGCCTTGAGTACTTTCAAATCTTACATTGAGTAAATCACTGAATTGAAATCGCTGATCAAATATCCATAAAATAATATGAAATCAACACTACTTAAATATTTACAGTGGCGTAGCTAAGGTAATTGTCATGGCGCGGGCCTATTGCTTCACCGCCCCTTCCACGCTGGCCGAAAACGCAGCCCCCTAGAAATGAAGAAAATAGAGTCGCCCGGGGTGGACAGTACCCACCACCCCTATCCTACGCCCCTGCTTATTTAACGATGGTATTGGGGAGGGGGGGGAGGTCAAATAACGTTACTGGTATTTCATTTTACCACTAGGTCAACTAAGGGAATAACAAACGCAAGTTGAAAATATTTGAGCGGTGTGGAATACAATGTGTTTTTAGGTACACATCTTTTCTTGGCTGACAACCCTGTCTGCCATTTAAGCTGACGGGGGAAGTAATTTCTTTAATTAACAATTGACGTCGCTTTGTTGTTATTAGCGGCCGAGAACTCGAGCAGATATTGCTGTAATTATAGTATCACTATAAGTGTTGCCCAAACAGGGGCTTTCAACAACTCCACAAAGGCAAGAAGCCAGATCGGTTACAAAACACGTAATTAACCAACTTTTCCCTCGGCAAGACAACACTGAAAGTTAAATTATCGATTACAAAGATGTGTCCATTTTTATTGTATCGATTAGACATCACGTAAACAGCCCTGTTAACTCTAGTCAAGTAAACGGCCCTGTGAAAATATAATCTGAAATTTAGAACAAAAACTATATATACCATTTTAAATAGATTGTATAATAATAATAATAAAAATAATAATAATAAAGATTATTTGAAAATCACGCTTCATCCCCAAATGCTCGAGGCGCGGTACATACCACATTGAAGTACAAAATGCTACATTACAAAAATTACATACGAGAATAGCCATTCTAAGTCTTTCATACCTTGCAACCATACACAGCACGGGCCAATATAAATCTTCAAGATTATAGCTTGATAGACAACATCACCCCAGCAGGTGTTTGCGAAATAGATAAGTCTTCAAATCAGTTTTGAAAGACTCCAGCATCTGGCTGTTTCTGAGAGCGACAGGAAGGGTGTTCCAAATTGTTGGGCCAGCAAATGCCAAAGTGCGCCCTTCGTAAGTCTCAAGGCGAACACGTGGAATCGAGAGTTTGCTACTATCAGATGAGCGGAGTTGTCTAGTATGTACATAAATTGTCAGTAGCGCTTTGAGATAGGACGGTCCCAGGTCATGCAAGCATCGGTAGCACAGAGTTGCAATTTTGTGCTCTATGCTAGCGTGGACCGGCAGCCAATGCAACTCTCTCAGAAAAGTTTTAGCATGGTCGAATTTGCGTTTTCGAAGAAAAATACGAGCCGCATTATTCTGTGCTTTTTTAATTTTATGCAGGAGCGTAGCTGGGAGAACCACTATAAGAGCATTGCAGTAGTCCATGCGTCATAGCACGAATGCAAACATCAGCCTCTTTAATGCATCTAGCGTTAAGAAAGGTCTGATATGATAATTCGGCGCAGCTCCGGAAAAATCGCCTAGCAAAGCATGTTAATGTGATTTCCCATAGTTAGTGTTCTGTCTAAGTAGAAACCCAGGTTTTGCACTGTTTGAGCAAACTCAATCTGTAAACCTGAGAGAGTAAGGGATGGTTTGTTAGTTATATATTTTAGCTTTTGAGCGGTAGCATTGGGGATCAGATCGGTCTTTTCATCGTTCAATTTAAGCCTGTTTACAGTCACTCCACTGTCTTCTGTGTCATACCAAGAAGCTGGGGAAACTGAGAGGGGATCACAGATATCTGAAGTTGGGTATCATCCGCTAAAAGTACAATAACATAATTTGATATTGATATCTTCATTAAAAAATTAACAACATTTCTGTCTTGTTGCTTCTACTATGTTATCGCAAAATCGTTTTTTAAAAAAGAACTCTTGTATCTAAAGAAGAATCTCTTAACCGTTTTTCACGTCTATAATAGACTTGGATGTTTCTTTTTTTTTAAATGTTATTAATCTTATAAAAATCAACACCCACTTTAGTTTTCCCAAAGCAAAAACAAAAATAGATTTTAAAGACAATCAAAACCCAAACCTGTTAACGCCGATGAAATGAAAATATCAACCAAAAAAAGAAATAAAAAAATGGCTCCATTTTTACGAGTAAATTTTCACGTCTGTAAAATGATCGGGTTTTTATATTCATGTGTGTGTACTTATGTACATGTTCCCACGTTATGTTAACACCATGGGCGCCCGCAGAAAACTTTCTAGGGGGGAGAGGGCACACAATTTTTAGTAATGTTTTAATGTAGTTTAAATTTACTGTAGCGTATTTGTATGGTGAACGAACGGACAGGACATCAGCTTAGTTACTTTCTCTTTATTTTCTCTTTACTTTAATACATTTTTTGCCAATTTTTGTCTAAAATATTTCTATCCAATCAATCGGGGGGGGGGGGGCAACTCCCCCCCCCCCCCCGGGGGCCCATGGTTAACCCCATTGTTTTTTTTTAAATTGGTAAATTTTGTTTTTTTTTTAAAAAATTTATTTTCCTTTTACTTTAATACATTTTTTGCAAATTTTTGTTTAAAATATTTCTATCCAATCAAGCGGGGGGGGGTGGGGCAACTCCCCCCCCCCCTGCGGGTGCCCATGGTTAACACCATTGTTTTGTTTTAAATTGGTAAATTATGTTTATTTTTGAAAAAAGATAATGTAGCATCTCCTTTTCACAACTGTAGTATCACAAGATTTAAAAATATTGTCATCCCCATAACAGTGTACACATGACCCCGATATACATGTACCTAAGAAAGTGAATTATTTATTAAATTCATTCCTTTACTCTGAGTCGTATCATGTGCCGCCTGAGGCGTATCATGTGCCACCTGAGGCGTATCATGTGCCACCTGAGGCGTATCTTGTGCTGCCTGAGGCGTATCATGTGCCGCCAGAGGCGTATCATGTGCCGCCTGAGGCGTATCATGTGCCGCCTGAGGCGTATCATGTGCCGCCTGAGGAGTATCATGTGCCGCCTGAGGCGTATCATGTGCCGCCTGAGGCGTATCATGTGCCGCCTGAGGCGTATCATGTGCCGCCTGAGGCGTATCATGTGCCGCCTGAGGCGTACCATGTGCAGCAACATGAATTCATTGAATCTCCCCTCCCCTCCTGATTTACATCAAAGTTAATCTAATCATCCACGGAATTGTAGCCCCCCCCCACACCCCTTTCTTCGAATGCTAACAAACAGGTTTCGCAGGTCCCTGAACTTAATTAAAATTCTTAAGTCCCAGATTCATTTTACCACACATTGTTTTATAAGAAATGTCATTGTTATTTATATTAACATAATTGTATTTTTATCTTTATAAATATATATATATATATATATATATATATATATATATATATATATATATATATATAAATAAAACAATTTCAACTTTATAATGTATGTTTTTATCTGTATAAGAGATATGTGAG